GTTAATCAAATTTACCTGCCATACCTGTGGTACGGTGTAAAAGAGTAGACTTTAACTAAGGGGCAGAGGTAGGTGGAGGGGATCTACGCAGGCGGGGCGAAATCGCTGTGACACCGGCGGATGTTTCTAGCTATGTGGTCCGTCACTGCAGTTTTCGTCTCTTTCTCTTTGTGTATCTGTATAGCCGGTATAACCGCGGATCGTTATACACCAGCTGAGATCTCAGAAACGACAGGCACAACAAGGAGAAGTCGTAGACATCATCCCTCCATGAAATAGCTTGTTATTTTGTAATCTTTTGGTGTATTTCAATAGAGATATTATGAGTCAAACTTTGTTTTTATCAGCAGAATGATTTGTGGTGGCACTTTGTATTTATCAAGCTGTCATGTGCAGGCGTTTAGTGTCTTGTTACCATGGTTTGTTTACTTTGATGGCCAGCAGGTCATTTGCCTTAGCCTGGGTACCATCCCCAGTAGTATATTCGCAAACTCTATAACTGTCTAGGGGTAAAAATAGATAGGGCTGCCTGGGTCTGACCTGCCAGCTGGAGGTATAAACAAAAACACTCTGTCCCAACTTTTGGGTCAAACAGACCATCCTATTATGAAGTAGGGGTGAAAAAGTGAAAATCCTTTTAAATTAAGCAATAAAAATATGCGACAACCTGCTAATGCACTCCAAAACACAAAGAGACTCAACAACTACCCACATACCAAAAATTATACCAAACCATCCCCCAGATTTTCCAAACATTCAACACAAAAAGTCCAACATTAAACATTTTGTAAATACCAAACGCAAACAGCTAGGGGACCCAAATTTAAACCACTAAACCATGGTAATAACAACTACATGCTACCTTAATATCGCACAAACAGTCCATAACGCGAAAACAACAGAATAAAAAATTAAACTGCAGTACCAAGGTCAATCACCAGGGGCTCAAAGTCAACCTACACAATCTCCAAGGCCCCATCCATCAATCTGCCAAATATCGTACAGTTTCTTCTCACCGATCTTCAGATATCAGACCAAACATGAAACGGAGTAAAAACAGTACCCCCATTTTCATGGAGGGTAAAAAGGAGATGAAAAATCGGCAGTGACGGACCACATGGCTCAACAACTGTATAATGGGAGGGGGTCAAAGTGATAGACACAGAGGACAACCGACGGATTCGGTAGATTAAGGAAGTCAACGCCAGTGATGGGACGAGGGTAGATACAAACGTTAGAGATTTTGTTCTCACCGTTAAGGCGCCATAATCTCCGAGCAGATCATATGGTGGTAAGGCAGTATCCATTGGCCAGAGGAGTGTCTATTAGCATGGACACACCACTGGGTAATGGCTACTGCCTTGCCACCGTATGATCTGCTTGGAGATTAAAAGGGCTACCTACATCGTCTGTATGTAGCGGCGAGAACTAGTTAGTGCAGTCAGAAGCTGTCTGATAGACGTTGAAACATAAGGAATGTAAGAAAATATCCCTGGTTGTGGAGAAGAAAATCCCAATGCCCTATCTTCTACCAACCCGATAAAATTATTTTCAGGAATACATAATGTAAACAAATAAACATATAAATAAATATATATGTATAAACAAAGCCAATTTGATTATCAAGAAAGAGAAAGTTAGAAAGAAAGAAATGTATGAACAACTAGAAAAGCCAATATTTGCTTTGGAGCAAATACAGCGATGGGTTCACCACATTTTACCACATGGCAGGGAAAGAATGAGAAACACAAGGGAAAACAATGATTTACCAGGGTTCTAGCTAGGATTTTATTTTAGCGTAGTGGTACCTGACGCACGTCGAGGGAGCGAAGCGACCGAGAGGGGGGATGGGGCACATCCCCCCTTCCGCGGTGCGGAGCTTTTAAAAATTTAAGCTTAAAAAGCAGCCATTTGAGGGATACCCAAAGGGAAAAAATGTCATTTCTAAGGTATGTACAATGTATCCTTGATTAGTAATTTTTATATTTTTGCAGCTTGGAATCTTCACAAAATACAGAAGATACTCCAAATTAGACACAACCAAGAACAGACTCTGAGATAAATTAAATGTTAAACATAGCATCTGGTGTGCAAAGTTGTAATATTCTACTTGCAAAAAAAGTAACTATAAATAATATAAGAAATACGTCTGTTTTGCCTGCTAATAGTGTCTCATTATGAGGCACTTTTAATCTCCTTTGTGCCATTTCTGTTCTGCAAAACTGGGCCGAAATTTGACGTGATTCAACACGTGGCTTTGTTGTTATTGCCAAGCTTTGATGCTGACATGATTACAGGCACACCCAGTATGTCGACATAGATCGCACAGTAGCTAAGAGCATGAAATCGGCATGGC